TTTTAATCAAAGTTTACAGAAACTTAGGGTTTCCAGTCATTCATTATTTCACTTTTCACCCTACCCATCCCCTCCCCCAATTCATTCTCCTTGAAAAGAAAAACTCTTTCATTGTTATGCAATCCCTCCCCCTCAAGTCCACTCCACTGTGCAGCCTTCACCCTGGACTTTTGCAATGACAAGAATACCCTATCATATACCCCTTTTAACAGTTCTCTCCCTCATCTGTTTCAATGCAATATACGTCATTCCTCCCTGCCTTTTCTGTCGTACCTCAACCCCAATGTCTCTCCCATTTTACAACAGTGGCCCTATGCAATATTTGTCCTTTTGTAACTGAGAAATTTCACTTAGCATAATGTCCTCCAGGGTCATTCATTTTGCATAATATTTTATGAGTTCCATGGTTTTCAATGTATTCCATTATGTAAATATACCACAGCTTCTCTATCCATTAATTTGTTGATGGGCACTTGGGTTGTTTCCAGGGTTTTGCTATTGCGAATAAAGCCACAATAAACATGGGTGTGTATCAGGATGTAAATTTTTACTGGAGGACACTGTCCATCTTTCTTCCAAGGAGATGCTGGTGAATTCAAAGCTGTGATCTTTCTATAAGGAGGCCCATTGTTACGCATTATACTCCAAAGCTCCTTTTAAGTATGACCATGACAAGCATTAGGCTATCAAATGCAGGCTTTGGAAGAATAGGAAAAATGTTCTGGAGCCTGGGGCCAGGGCACATCAAGGTCATCAGGCATAATACAGTCCACAAAGACAATGTTCTACATCCTACTTTGTCAAGTAGCAACTAGCTTTAAAAAGTACAAGCAAATACTGGTTTCTGCCTGTCCAGAACAAAAAGAGGAAATGCAAAGCTACACAGAAATAATTAACCCAAAAGGGTAATGGACCACACATACCTCATCCAGAACAAAACTCAAAAAGCTTAGTGGTCTGATGATACGAATTGGTGGAACCCCCAAGTCATAGCCTTTAGTCACCCTTTGACCAAGTAAGGCCAAAGAGCATTATTTACCCAAGCATAAAGCCCAGAGGGCAGGAAAGAGGGATTAATGGAAACAAGAATTACAGGAAATGGGGAAAAGTACAACTATATTGTGAGTATTGTAATTAATGTTTAGAACATAAAGTGTCTGAAGAGTTGAACAGAAAACCAATTTGCTTTGTATATTGTTGTTATGTGCCATCGAGTCATTTGTGACTCATTGCGACCCTATGTACAACAGCCCTAAACCTGCTCTATCCTGTGCCAAATCGCACTGCCTCTGACACACCCATCCCAATTACTGAATCAATCCAACTCAGAGAGGGTCTTCCCCTCCTGCACCATCCCTCCACCTTCCCAAGCATGATGTTCCTCTCCAAGAACCTGTCTCTCCTTACAACACGTCCAAAATATGTCAGACAAAGCCCCAGAATCCTTTCCTCCAAGGAGTAGCCTGGTTTAACCCTCCCCAGGATGAATCTGTTTGTTTTCTTGGCAATCCAGGGTACATTCAATACTCTTCTCCAGCACCACAGCTCAAAGGCATCAATTCTCCTTTCCTCCCTAGTCATTGTCCAACTCTCTGATACGTAACAAGTGGTTGCAAAGACCACGGTCTGTATCAGGTGCACCTTAGTCTCCAGAGAGACACCGTTGCTCTTGAGTACTTTAGAGAGGTCCCTAATAGCAGACTTTCCCATCGCAATGTGTTATTTCCTGGCTGGTGCCAAGAGTGTTGACCGTGGAGCCAAGCAAACTGAAGCTGTGAACAATCTCAATCTCTTCGCCATCCATCCTGACACTGCCAATTGGTCCCGTGGTGAGAATCTTTGTCTTCTTGACATTGAGCTTCAGTCCATACTGAAGGCTGCAGTCCTTGACCCTCTGCAGCAAGTGCATGAGGTCCTCCTCAGTTTTGGCAAGCAGGGTTGTGTCATCTGCATAA